TTGCTTTAATTCTTAAGACTTCAGAACCCTGAATCCGGTGATAAAAGCAGGAATAAACTCATCTCTGGAGGTTGGGTGCATCCTTGCTGAGTAGATTGTTTACAAACACTAGGCACGCTTCTTCTGCCATGAGAGGCTTAGATACTGTCCAGTGATTTAGCGAGTGTTTATTGCACTTACAAAGGATTAAGTAAGTATATACATCCTTCCTTCTGCTAAGCCAGTGCCCACAATCGTTGTAAACAGACAGGAGCAGCTCGGTTTGCTGAAAACTAATTAAAGACGATTCACCCAAATTACCGAGGGATTTTTTTCTCTTAAGCTTGAAAGTTTGTGTACAATATACTTTTGCCCGTCCCTGGCCACCACACATCAGGAGCCTGGGCTCAGTTTCCACCATTCAGATTGCTGATAAGCAGGCATCAAGTCCGCGCACTGGTTTCAGAGAACTGGCTTTTAGCAAATTGGTCTTTGGCAAAGGTGGCCATTAGGCCAACACTGGGTCATTGGCGAAGGGTCATGTTAGTAAACGGCTTTCAGACAATTTCCTGTGAGATTTTCTCTAGAGGAGCACTTCTTGGTTTAAATGTACATTTTCATTTCCATAATAATATTCACTAGGGCTGGATGGAAAATCTTCCCAGGGAACAGGAGCCAGCCAGAACACTCTTAATATTGGGCGACTTAAAAATCCTGGTCTTTCTAAGGGGTGGAGATACAGGAATCTGCTCTCACAAATAGTCATCTTGCTCCGTCGGCGGTCACCGGAGTTCTCGCGGCTCTGTTTTGGGCGGCTGTGACATACTCAGGCACTCATCGGAGAAGAGGTAAGTGGTCTTGAGTCCTCGTGTTGATTCATCGCGCATCGCAACACCCATTCAACACTTCCTGCGTGACACGGGGTCCAGCATCTGAAACCACCAGACCAGCTGCCCAGGGCTTCACCGTCGACGTCCCACCAAGGCTCGGGGCTATTTAATAACGATGCTGTCATGGTATTGAATTCTTGATTTTTTTTTTTCCCTGAGAACAGAGTCTCTCTGTTAGCCCGGCTAGATGCCACATTGGCATCAACCTGCTCACTGTAGCCTCCAGACTCCTGGGCTCAAGCGTATCCTCCTGCCCCAGCCCCCGAGGAGCTGGGCTACAGGCGAGCACACCACCCCGGCTAATATTTCTGTTTTTAGTAACACAAGGTCTCACTCTTGTCTCGGCTGGTTTGAACTCCTGCCTTCAAGTGATCCTCCCGCCTCAGCGCCTCCAGATGCCTAGGATCACAGGGTGAAGCCACCGACCTGGGCAAAATCTTGATTTTTTAAACAAGGGCCACCACATCTCATCTTACTGGGTCCAAAAATGTGCAAGGCCATCGTATTCATTTCCTAGGACTGTTGTTGGATCTGGGAGACAACCGCTAGAGAAAGACAGTTCTGAAAAAAATAAAACATAAGTGCACACACTATGCGTTGCAACCCACTGGTTCCTAAGTGTTCCCCACCCCTTGTCCCCACGTGCCACCCAACCAACACTGCCCCAAATTATCATCATGCGACGATCATGATCAACATCATTATTCATCAAAACTGGGCCCAGCACTGCACTAACAACTTAACAGGAGGCATTTCATTTTTGTCTTCCCAACAACCCTAAAAAATAAATGCTGTGCTGGGCACGGGGGCTCACACCTGTAACCCTAGCACTCTGGGAGGCCGAGGCGGGAGAGAGGATCTCACAAGGTCAGGAGTTCGAGACCAGCCTGAGCAAGAGTGAGACCCCATCTCTACTAAAAATAAAAAGAAATTAATTGGCCAACTAACATATAGAGAAAAAATTAGCCAGGCATGGTGGTGCATGCCTACAGTCCCAGCTACTCGGGAGGCCGAGGCAGGAGGATCGCTTGAGCCCAGGAGTTTGAGGTTGCTGTGAGCTAGGCTGACGCCACAGCACTCACTCTAGCCTGGGCAACAGAGCGAGACTCTGCCTCCAAAACATAATTAATTAATTAAATTAATTGAGAGATGCCTC